AGTTCCCTAGCAATGAGCTTGTTTAGTATATACCATGTGTGCACTTTACCCCACACTTTCATTACCACAAGCTTTATTTTCATATGTCATCCCTGCAATGTACCACCCAATAGGAATCAGTGTTGCCAAGTCTTGCAATTTTTATCACAAGTCTCACATTATTTGGTGTTTTTCCTAAAGCCCCAGCTGCTGGAATCATGTTATTAACTAAGAATCTCAGTTTTAATTTTTCTCCCCTAAAAGTACATTTCCAGCCTTCCTGGTGCTGGAGAAAAGTTTTAAAACAGTAATCCTAAAGTTTTAAAACAGTAAAATGCTCCAGCATAACAGGACAAATAAAAAGACTCCAAAGTTTATTATTTTGAAATCTCATGGTTTTTAGGAAATCTCATAATTTTGGGGGGGTCTGACTCATGGTTTTTGAATGCTTGTGGTTGCGATACTGAAAACAATCCTCCCCCTCCCCCCCCCCCGTCTAATTAACTTTAGTCTCACAGTATCTCCTGTGTGAGCTTTATGGAGCTTGTATCTGACTGGAGTGGACTTCATTAGACTCTTAAAAACCAGCATGCAAAATTTAGGAACTCTGCAAGATTCCCAATGTATACACATTAAACCCTTTTTAATTACTAACAATTACACCTCCACTCCCGCAATTAGTCTGAGGCACTAGTCCTCACTATGGTCAAATTGTGAAGTTTCTATTTCAATCTGTTGGTATTTTTTTAAACACATGAACAAAAAAAAGTTAGGAAAATCTGAACCCTAATTTTGTTTAACCCTCATAGCTCTAAAATAATTTGTCCAATTTGTCTGAAGCTTTCCAGAAAAGTTCTACCTTGGCAGTAAAATCAGGATGTAGAATTTCAGATGGATTTATTTATTCACAGAGAACTTGTGAGAAGGATCAGTGCGGGGGAGGGATAGCAAAAGTGTCCTTGTTATGGAAAACCAGTTTTAACCTTAACTCTCCATAATTGTATTGGGGGTGGGGGGAGAGCATTGTTTGTTTTGGACCAAGCAAAGCAACAGTATGATTTACCTGACACAGAGCGACCAAAATAAAAATTTCTGTAATCAAAATCCAGAGTTCAGACTTTGTCCTCCAGACAGAAAACACAGTCCACACTTGTTCTTTGATATCATTATAGAGTAATAGTTAGGGCCACAATCCTCCACTAGAATCTACTAATGTGACTGTTTAACCTTTTATCCTAATTGAAAAAAAAAGGGAACTCTGGGAGGGGGATTGAGAACTAAGTTTGCAACAACCCTTTTCTGGACAAGCAGAAACAAACTGGCGGGGGGGGGGAGAGGAAGAATCCAGTCTTTGACAATTATCTACATTTTTTTCAGTTTATGTGCATTTTAGAGCATGCTGTTGAGATACCAACATCTATTCTGTTCAAACTTTCAGAGAGCAACTGAGTCTAATAAAGCCAGTAGGAGTAAGATCACAATATTTTTCATTATTGATACAGCTGGTTTATTATTATCAAAAAAGAAAACTTATTAATAATACTTTGCACTAACATAGCCCCTTTCATCTTTGGATTTCAAATGACTTTATGATAATCATGACAATAATGACAATAATTATTTAAATCTCACAACACCCAAGTGAGGTAACTATTGTTATCCCCATTCTACGCATGGGTAAACTGAAGCACAGAGGTGTTAAGTGACTTACCAGTTACTAAGTTCACACAGTGAGTACATGGCAATCCCTGCATAGAACCCAAGAATCCCAACTAACAGTCGTCTCTTCCTACCAATAGAAAATAATGTGTGAAACAATAATGTTATAGATGTCAATCAATTATTGTTTTATGTAGTCATTTTCTATTCTGTCTTTCAGACTTGACTGTCTACAGTACTGCCAGAAATTGTAAACACTATACAAACAGTGTACGGTGCTGAGATATAAAATGCTTACAGCACATTTCAGGATAGCATAGAATTTTCTTGTATTTCAGTCATAAATCAATGGGTCAGGGACATGATAGCGAAAATAAAGAGACTGAAGGAGTCTATGTACTCTTGTAATCCTGTGTTTGTACTTCTGAAATCTGTGCTCCTTAGCACAGTAAACAACGAATCAACCAAATCTATCAAACAGAAGTCTGTAAGTTCTGAGCCACTCTACCTGACATACTTTTAAGTGCAAAGAATAGCTGGACAAGTAGTCAATTTGTAACCACAATGAAAGCAAAGTGTTGCCATGAGACATTGGGACTCATCATGCTCCCACTGAAGTCTGTAGAAGTTTGGGCATTGACATCAATGGGATCAGGACTACCCTAATGTCACACCACATTTCAGCCTGATTTGTATTTTCATGAGTGAGTTAGAAACTCCTGGAAGGTGGAATTTGGAAAGAAAATACTGGCAAGTACTTAACTATAGCAGTAATTGCTGACATTGCTATAATGACTCACAAAATATCTGATACAATAATAAACCTGTTAAACACATTAATTTATTCTATTTTCCATCAAGGCTATGCACTCATATAGAGAATGTTATAAGAGGTTCAATATGTATCATGATTACAGCACATTCCAGTCAAGCCATCCAGCATCAAAACAAATATTTTTATGAAACATCATTCACTACAGAAACATACAACATTTATCAATTATTTTCTACCTTAATCAGATAATGTTTATACCAGGAGATTATTGATAGGTCCAGAGATTACTGGGTCCAAATTTTACCAATTTAAAATTAAATAGATACTAAGACAGTTAAAATATATGTTTTTCTAGCAAAATGCTTCCATATAGTACAGCTGTATTTGTAACACTGTTAAAAGTAAAAAAGCTAAAAGACCATCAAAGTTGCTTTTGCAGGAATCACAGATGCACTCATTAAAATCTTATTTTATAAAGTGGGTCTGGAGGTTTTTTTAATACATAATCTTTTAAAAAACCATTTTTTCTCTAAACTCCTATGGCTCTCTAACCTCTTAAAATGTGATCCACTTTTCAACCTATGCTAAAATTATGAGCCCTTCTGAAGTGGAAGCGGAAGAAAGCTGGAGGGTAGGGTTGCCCCAAGTGCAAGGGTTCTCAAACTGGGTGTCGTGACCCCTCAGGGGGTCATGAGGTTATTACATGGGGGGTTGCGAGCTGTCAGCCTCTACCCCCAAGCCCTGTTTCACGTCCAGCATTTATAATAGAGTTAAATATTAAAAAATGTGTTTTTAATTTCTAAGGGGGAGGGGGTTGCACTCAGAGACTTGCTGTGTGAAAGGGGTCACCAGTACAAAAGTTTGAGAACCACTGCCCAAGTGTCTTTCAGCCGAATCCAAGCCAAAGTTTCATATAATTCAGAACATAGCATAAAGGATATATAAAAAGAATCCCAGACAGCCTTTATGCTGGTCCATAAACATTATGGGTAGTTTTATTAAGGTGTCCATAACAATTTCAATAAAATTCTAGTGCTCTGAGTTGTGATCTGTTCCAGGCTTTAGCAAGTTCCAGTTAAATGTGTAAAAGTTAAGCAAAAAGACATTTTTGCAAGGAGACTAAAAATCAGCTGTGCCAGGTACCTGAAACTTTGTTAGGGTGGTCAGTGGAAAAATTATAAATAACTATAGACTATTTTAAGTGACCTTACACTGGGTACTTCCTATAACTTCTTTTGATTTATCCTAACTAACTTTTTAAATTTTAGTATGGAGGGAGGCAACTGCAAAAATTCTGATGTGACTAATTAAAAGAGGAAATGTATCTTCTTCTTTTAAAAAAAAACACTGAAATAACTACTGTCAAATTAATTCTGTACTTGGAAACATACGGTTCCTGTTAACTTTTTCTTTTCTACCCAACACCTGTACCCTCTACCTAATGGAAAATGTTATCCCCCATCTAAAGGGAAGGTGTTAAAAAGCACAATAATAAACATAGTACCAAAAATAACTATTTTAAAATATTTTACTGTACTGCAACTCTATTTGAGCTCTGAAAACCTTTAAATTACTCAGCTCCTTGCAGATTGTGTTAAATTCCCCATTTCGGGGCACTGTGCACACTTCTCCTTTTGGACAGGATCTTGCCCGTTTTGTTGGTAAGTCTGGGAGCACTTATTCATCATACTTATATGTCCACGTAGGAATAGTAAACTCCCCATCACCACCACTCCGTATTTGACAAGTATACAGAGAAAAAAAAACCTAAGATCGTCCCAGGTGACCAGGGGTTACTATCAAACATATTAACCCTGGAAAAAAGAGGTAGAATGAAAATAATAAACAAATACATGTCATCCGCTGCACTTCCTTCAAGGACGTGTGCTATTGCAGACAAGAGCACAGAGTTGCCCACCACATTTAGCGGTATACAGAGCGAGAGCTCTCCCATGTGACCGAAAAAAAGATCCTTTTGAACATTTTAATTGCAAGTAAGTAAATAAATAAAGACCAAAGCTCCGGAAGTTTCACCTTCCTTTTTAATGTTTGTCAGATAACAGGCGACGGTGGTTGTAGTGGGGAATAACTCAATCCTGTGTTAATCGTCAGAGAGGATCATTTTATGTATGCACTGTGTGTAGCACTGCGGGTTGGTTTCGAAAGTTGACACAGACCCTATTGTGAAAACAAGCCGGCAGCAGAACCTACAGCTGGAATAGAGCGCAGAGAGGAGAGTGTTGTGGTCTGGGTCCCTGAGACGTGTGCTTTCGGATCATTTACCTGGGTACACGCAGGTTTTTTCGTGGGGAAGGGGGGAAGCGTCGGGGGAAGGCCAAAGACTTGTTTTATGGTGCTGAAAATGCTCCCAGAATTGTGTGCGAAAAAGCTGCATAAAGGCACCATAAGTGGAGCCCCCCCTCCCATCACCCCAAACCACACCGGCACTTCGCGCAGCTACCCCCCCCCCCAGCGCTTACTTTGTACAAGAAGGTGGAAGTGGCACCTCGAAGTAAGTTCGAGGGAGAGTTTTGATAGGTTGTTATCTGCTCTGGGAGGCGTTGACACTTTTTTACTATTGGGTATGTAAATTGTTTTTAATAAGATCTGCCTTTTTTTTTTTAAGGGCGAAAACAAACCAGACTCTCTTTACCTTAATAGTCTGAAGGGCGGGTTTTCTAGCTTTCATTTATTCAAGGAAATGTTTTAGGCTTTAGACTGACAGGGTCTTAGCAACCAAAAAAAAAAAACCTTTGGCACCAAATTATTAAGTATTATTAGTTGGCAAACCAGATAGTCCAGGCTTTTTTCAAAACAAACAAAAAATGTGTTAATGGAAAAACCCGGAGAGAAGTACAGATCGGAGACAGTCCTGTCATTCCCTCTAGTCCTGTCCCCGGGTGGGGGAGATCGCCTGAAAGCAAGCTCCTTCTTCTGTGGGGGATGCACATTGTTTTATTTATTTTGAAGGCTGCAGAAGTATGAGGACGGGGTTGAGACACCACGTGCTGCTGACTCTCATCAGCATAACGATCGCCGTAGCCAGAGAGTCCTGTATATATAAACCACAAAAACCTAATCATTAGAAATCCCAGCCTCCAAAAAACCACATTTAGGACCAAAAAAAAAACCAACCCAACAACGGGGGATTTTTTTTCCCGGCTCCTTCATCCTCCCCGACCTCAACTTTTGGGACCCAAAAGAAGTTTTTTAAAACCAGTTTTTCAGAAAAAAATTAATTATCTTTTTGTTGTTGTTATTAATCAAGGGAAGAAAAATAAAGATTTTTGGTGGTCTATTCGACTGAACGGAGTAGGACATAGCCGCGACTTAATTAAAAGGAACCGGAGTGCATCAAAGCTCCCTTTTCCAACAAGTTACTTGAGCGTATTTTAGAAAACAGCCTGACAACTGTTTCTGTCTATTCTTCCCTCTTATTTTTCCGGGAGTCAGAAGTCTGAACTTTTTAAAAAAGCCCTGCTCCTCCTTACGCAGCCTCCTAATGTTTCTCTTTTAATTATTAGTATTTTGACTACGGTTGTTTTTTTTTTCTGGCTAAAAACCCGAGAACTTTCTTGTTTGTGCTGAAGTAGCTTTGGGGGAAGGGAAACAGCTTTGCAGAGACACTTTTCAAAACTTTTTACCCCCCCACCCCAGCCCCCTCTCCCTCCTGAAGCAAAAACTAATAATCGGAAAAGCTGAGAAGTCACTTGGCATCTAAACTTTCTCCGATCAAGATTTTTTTGTGGAGGGGGAAGACTTCCTTGGAGGAAAACGGGACATTCCCCTTAGCACCCCCTCTCAGTAGCTGAAACCTACCCTCCTCTTCTCGCTGCTGCTTCTCCCGCAAACAGCAGCAACCCAGGAAGCTGAAATCAGCAGCGACTTTACCTCTCCCGGGCAACCTTTAAAAATCCAAAAGGAGACGAGGAAAGACAAAAGGACAGACAGAAAAGGAGGAAATCCCGAGCACTTGAGGGAAGACGCGGTGGCTGGAAGGAGGGAAGGGAAAAGAGCAAGAGAGACTGAACAAGGAAGGAAGCAGGAGAAGCTTTTTGCAGCACCCGGGACCATGCCGTTTCCAGCTGGGCTTTGCTAAGAGGGGGGCAGCCCTAGGATCCCACAGCCAGACACTGTGTCCCCCATTCCTCCAGGCTGCAGACTCGCCCCCAAATCAGCCACATCGCCCCCTTTTTTTAGCTGTGATTCCCCCCCCCTCCTGCATTTAACCCGCTGCTGCGCTTTCCTCCCCGTCCTCTCCCCTCCACTTCTCCATTCACCCCTTTTTTCACTCCCCCACTACACGCCTCCTCGAGTGACCCCCCCACCGCCCCCTCAGCTCGCTAACTTGTGGCTGTTGTGATGCGTATTCCCGTAGATCCCAGCACCAGCCGGAGGTTCAGCCCCCCCTCCAGCAGCCTGCAGCCCGGCAAGATGAGCGAAGTGAGCCCGGTAGTAGCAGCCCAGCAGCAGCAGCAGCAGCAAGAGGCGGCGGCGGCCGTGCCCAGGCTGCGCCCCCACGATAACCGCACCATGGTGGAGATCATCGCCGATCACCCCGCCGAGCTGGTCCGGACCGACAGCCCGAACTTCCTGTGCTCCGTGCTGCCCTCGCACTGGCGCTGCAACAAGACCCTCCCGGTGGCATTCAAGGTAAGACCCCCCCACCCCACACACACACGCTCGGTGTGCCCTGCAGCCTCCTCCGCTAGCTACCAGGGCCAGGCGAGCCTGCCGCTCCCCCCTCCCGTGAACAGTTATACACCCCCTGCAGCAAGGGCTGTGTGTCCTCTCTCGGCCCCCTTTAACACCCATGTGCCCCCACAACGACTGTGCACCCCTTAGGAGTCCCTCACAAACAACCGTGCCCCCTAGGCACCAGGGCAATGGGCACTGCATCCTCTCATTCCACTGGGCACTGCATAGACCCCCGACCCGCAGGGCCACCTCCCTTCGAGCAGCCCCCCCTTGCTAGCAGTACACCCCTAGCCACAAGGGGAAAGGAATCCTTAATTCTCATTTAACAACCACACACGCCCTCGCCACAAGGCAGTGCAGCAACTAACTACCCACCCCCTATAACGACCGGGCACCCCCAACCAGCAGGCAACGCACAGGCTGACGCCTCCCATTAGCAAGCATATACTCTCAACCACCGTAGGCATCATCTAACTACCCTCCATTCACAGCACCATCTCCTAACCACCAACAATGCCTCTCCATTAATGCCCCGCACAGCAGCCATACACTCCTTAGCACCCACTGAACCCGCTTCTCCATTGACATCCCAGACACCCCAAAACTACCAGGGCAAGGCAGCTAACGCCTCACTCCACCGTATACTGCCAACCAGAACAATGCACCTTCTAATTCCGTGCACCCCCTAACCACATGAGCAGTGCAACCTCTAAGTAACAGGGGGACTGGATACAGAATATTTTTCAAGTAGGTGCGGGGATTTACCCATCCCCAAAGCAATGTATAGGGTTATAAGAAAGGGGAGAGGAGAAGAGGTGGCTTTGAGCTTCCTCCAAATGTTCCCTCTCCTCTGTTTCAGCACCAAAGGTCTGCCCCCTTCCTTTCACAATTTCTAAAGGCATGTTAATTGATGTATTCACGGATATGAAGCAGGGTTTGATGGTGTTGTGTGTGCGTGCCCTGTTGTTGATTTAGGAAGGACACCAGGAGAAGGACCCACGTCCCTGATGGAACTTTTTTTCTCTTTTTCACTTGGGTGTGTCTCTCTAGGTGTCAGGTTGAACTTACTTTTTGCGAAGCGTCAAGCTATTTGTATTTCGTTGTGTGAGGAGGTAGGGGGAGGTGTTGCTGCCTCCCGGAGTTACACTGTTTTACAGCTGCTTCTGGAGAACAGATCCTCCTAAGCTAGGGGTAGAAAAATTATCCAGATTTTAAAACTGGGATCTACAAAGGGGCTAAGAGTGGGGAGAGAGGACAGAGCTCTTGCCCTCCCAATGGGAGATGGTGCCCCTTCACTTCTCCTGCTGGACAAGTTAGGAAGTGTCTGTCCTGAAGACGTTCATTTTGGCAGGGGACAGTGCATAAGTTATCAGTAACATCATACGCTATTTAGATAATAAATACCACCCAGATCTAAATCGGGAATGTTGCTTTTCATTTTCAGTCGACATCCGCACACTCCGCTAATGTTAAGAAAGGATTATTATGTGGTGGTTCGTGTGCTTGCTTTTAAGCAAGCCTTTACCCTCCCACCAAACTTTCCGCTGCAGATTTCTTTCAATTCCTTCAGTGGTGAAATGAGTAGTAACTCGGCTGTCCCAAGGCACCTGTGCCTGTCCATCAGCACCTGAGTCAGTCCAAAACCCAGCACCGGAATTCGCAGATCTAAACTTTGCAATTTTGGATTTTACTGCCTGTGTAAAATCGAAACCCCTCCAACCTCCTGCTATTGCAGCATCCCTGGCAAAATATAGTTACCCTGCCTGAAAATCATTGAAAAGCAGAAGAGTTTGAAATCAGTATCTTCTAGAACAAAGTATAACTATCTAAGAGTGCTGTAGTTCCTGACCGATAGAGATGTAATCATTACTAAGGGGGATATATTTGTAAGTGAAAAATCAATAGCATCAGTAAAGGAAACTGACATTAAAATAAGTGTATGTAAAGCTGACATGGAGATTGAATGGCTTGCTTTAATATCAGACAGAGAAACAGACTACATTTGTCTGAAGCTCACATATATGACAGGGAAAGATCGTGGAAGAACTCGGTCTGCCTTAGAGTTAAATGATTAGTAGTCTTTGTGGGCCCCACTTGTTAGAGATTGCAGAGAACAGGCTAAACAGAGCCATTAGAAAATCTTCTACTTCTGTAACTTTGCCAAGCATTAAAGGGCCATGGCAAATATCAGGTGTAGATCACTTTTCCTGAGCAAGTCTTATTCAGAGGGCACTGATGGTTGGGGGTAAGGAGGAGGAGATTTCAGGTAACTTTGATTGTAATTTTGATCATTGTTAGATTAGATTAGATTAGTATTAAAGTTATAGTTCACAGAAGTAAACATTACACATTGCAGTTATATCTGTCTCTGGCTTCTTTTGAAATGTCAGGCATCATCTTCTTCTACTTTTTCTTATTTACTTACCTTTAAAGGATACTATCACATCTGCTGGATTAAAAAGTTTAGGAGAAAAATATGAACCTAATATGACACAAGATATGGTTACAAAAAAGCACATTTAAACCTGATAAAAGGACAGATGTGTTTAGAGCATTTCCCAATCCCTCTCTGTCTATATATATTTATGCACACACTAGCTAAATTGGATGAAGTATTCAGTATGCACAATATTCAAATACTACAGTAATAAAGGCCATACAGGTACCTATTGACAGACCTGCATAGATTTATCCAGTTTATTGAGGTGTCAGGGATATTAAATTGACTACGAGCAGTTCTTTGACCACTTACACCACCACTCAGCTATAAAGCATGTGCACATTTACATACATCTGTATTTTTACACAGAGAATATATGTGTATGCATTATGTATACATTCTGTATGTATTACCTTTATTTACTACTGAAAAACTGTACTGTAAATCCTAATGACATTTACTTAACAATTATCTTGAACACATATTTTATCAGTTTTCTTTTCACTGTATAAATTGAAATGATCTGTAACTCTGCACAATTTCAAGATGAAATAATCCAAATGCATATATAACAAAAAAATCACTGTAAATTAATGTAATACAGTAGCAGTTATCTTTAACTATATATATACACAGATCTGGGATGTACCGTAACTAGCTCACATACAGCATGCTTTTTAAAAATTGGCAACTGAAGTTTTATTGGCAATAAATAATATGTTGATGATAATATTTTGAATGGTGTGTTAAGTATATCATAATTCTATTATAGGATTCTCTAGTTAAAAAGTGCTTTGGACATACCACTGTTTTAATTTAAAAAACCCAGATATAAATCAATTGTAGGAAAGGAAGTATGTTATAAACAGTGATAGTTTTGATTATAATTTTTTAAAATCATGTTGGCTAGTAAAACACTTGAATTGGAGTATTAATATTTACATGAGCTGTGAAGGGAGTTCTTGTTTAATATACTGAGTAGTAAGACTAAGTTAGTGCAAACTATTTTTATAGTGAAGAATGTTAACAATGCACTTATTAACATAGCTTTGTAACTGCTTAATAATATTCAGGTGGCTAAGATATAAAGGAAATTGGGACAATGGGACTGGGGCCAAATTATGTTCACGTTATTCACAAGTAGTTCCATAGTAGTCAATGGGCCTACTTACTTGAGTTGGGATAACAGGATTTGTCCCTCAGTTGACAATTCTTTCAGTAGCATCTTACTGAGACACGCAAAGACAGAATTATTACACCAGGCGTGTATGTTCTTTGTTGTCCTGCAAGAAGCTGATAGTAGCAAAAAGCATTAGTTGACATAAGATAACAACAATCAAGAAAAAAATCAATGTACAGTATTCAAGCTATATCCAGTAGCACCAGTAGTTAAGGGTCTGTCAGCATTTCACTCTAACCCCCAGTTTCCAGAGTTTATAACTCAGCTGTTTTAAATAGCTTCAAGCTGAACTTGGTGTATAAATTGTCAGTCCAGATGTATTTTTTTAAACAAAAAGTAGTGCAAATCAGTTATTCTGTTTTAAGTTATAGACCATTAAAATATTTTTAATAGCTTCAGATGCTCTTTTGGCAAACTCTAGGCAAGAAAAGACATTATTTGTAATATAGGAGGTTTTACATTCTGGGAGCCCTTTATGCGAATAATGCCTTTTAGTATTTTTACAAGCAAAGGTATTGAAATGATAGAGATAGTAGTGTTTGAAAACAGCTAATATCATGTACACGAGCTCTTTCTGGAAACAATCTTTTTACTATGTAAAGAGTCTTACTACATAATATTATTGTGTAGTATTT